AAGTTCCATTTAACTAACTTATCAATAACGAAGAATTCAATATTAATGAGGTCCCTCATGATGAAAAAAGTTCATTGGCTTGTTGCCGACATATGGGAATTTAAACGATGAACTTAGTAATAAAACCGTCCACTGATATGTAGTAAAATGATAGACTCTTGCCGCTAACATGTGGGCCATAATATGTTGTTATATACGAGACAATAATTTGTTATATATGAGACTATAAGAGGAGGATTGTGTGGCTAAATACCGCCTTTGTTATCGTGATGAGCAGCACGACGGCCTTAGCGATATAAAGTTGCGGGCGATGCTTCATTGCGGCGCGGTGATGAGGGCTGGCTGGTGATGAGGGCTGCTGGCTGGTGATGAGGGCCGCTGGCTGGTGATGAGGGCTGCTGGCTGGTGATGAGGGCTGCTGGCTGGTGATGAGGGCTGCTGCTGGCTGGTGATGAGGGCTGCTGGCTGGTCAACACAATCCCACATCGCCGCTGCCTTATAATACATCCCCCGAGGAAAAAAAATCCTTGAAAATTATTTCTCAGTGTAAATCATGAAAAAAATTTATTAGTCCTGAAAGCAATTATATTTTCCTACTTTTCGTTGTATCAAGCATGCTGAAGTTTCTCATTATATTTTACTTGAAAAAAATTGAAGTAATTCAACTGAAATGTGAAGGTCAGTGAAACTGAAGGTCAGTGAAAATTCAACTGACCAAATAATTGCCAAAATTTTTCGACTGCCTGAAGATTTTAAGATCGATCCATATCATTATCTATTAAACCCCGCAGTTTAAACGATTCTTCATTCATGTAATTTAATTTCAATAATGCTAGAATAAATTTGTACTATTTATTAAACAATAATTATTAAAACGCAATCCTGCAAAATTTATCAAGACGGTCTTTGCTGTAAATAGCGAAATCGTTTCCGCGATCTATGCTTATAACTTCTACTGTTATCTTTGTTATCTCGCTTAGTGAAGTTCGCAGGAAATGGTGAACGTTTTATGTTCGAGTTTCGTTCTCGTTCTTTGCTTAATTTTCAGCCAATTAGTTTAGTTCTAAGGTACTGTCTTGTTGCACGAGGAGGATTAGCTGAAACAAAATGTTTAGGATTAGTATTCGTATGAAACAGTTCTCTTTAACGTTAAATTATTCAATGCTATATTTTCTCTCCACCGCGTGTTATTTGTCATTCAAACAATTATACTCATTTTATGCCGATAAATTAATTCAGCAAAAAATTTTTTCATATTTAGGTCACTAAAATTTAATTTTTGCATCATCTCAGACAAAATCCACATCATGTCTCATGACGACGTCATTATGATGCAGCTGCATGGAGCGCTGTTATGGTGCCTGATGCAGCTGCATGAGGCGCTGTTATGGTGCCTGATGCAGCTGCATGAGGCGCTGTTATGGCGCCTGATGCTATTACCGTAAGGAGCAGAAACGTAGGTATCGCAACTGCTTATTTTTGACCCATCATTTTGCCCTCATAGGTCGTCTTAAAGAAGTTGCCTAATCAAATCACAACAAAAGCCTCTTAATTTTATTCAATAATGTTTTTGTATTTTGCCGTCTCTGAGGATTCGACTTGTAACATCGTGATATCAAATGACGTGTTCCTGACCTAAAATGCAGAGTCATTGCACATATTCGGCCACACTGACTTCAAATTTGCGCTCAACAGAGCAGCAGCGTTTACGTGAGATTTCACTTTCCTTTGGTCGCTTAATTAGCTCTTTGCGGACCAGGCCTATAAAATCAGCACACATCCTGAACCGTTTGCTGCTTTTGAGTTGTTGTAGCAAAGCCGAGCCGCGCGTGCCAGTTGTGTGGCGACAAACGATGCCATTCGAGCACCGCTCGGACGCCCCCAGTCCTGTCTCGTCGACTCGAGCTGCAGTTTTGTCTTCGTGGGACATACGAGAAAAAAATATCCGCCGAATGCTATGCGGGTGCCAAAGAAACGAGCTATTTGAATCTCTGGACAGAGTTCAAAGCACGTTCGAATGATGGGAATTTCTCTTGAAAAATTACTGCTTCTACTGTTGGTCGTTACAAGGTCCAGTTTGCATTTTGATGACTAGTGAGGCTAGTGAATTAGGTAATATCATATTAACACTATTTCGCAAAAAGTTATAAGTTTCAGTTAATGAGCACTCGCGTTTTGAACCGCTATATTAGCTTTGAGCTCAAGATTGCAAACGATCTTTCAGTGGCTCGGGAAATAAATTGGTACGTAAAAAAATAGATGATTCAATAACATTGAAACCATTATATTTATTTAAAAACTAAAGAATGAAGCATATTTTAAGACAATTTTATTACTGCGCCTGAAAGTTAGTTGCGTTGAAGTCAGTGTGAACTTCAAAGAATGTTTGAACTTCGCTGCAATTCAATCTGACAGCCTAAAATTTAAATTGCCACATAGGAAGAGTGATGTTCCGTGTCGCGGTGAGACCATTGGGCGAGAGAACTTGTGCTCTGCACTCGGCAGTGGTTTTTTGGCTCTGCTTTGAAAAAAAAAACAGATTCTTGTTTCTTGACGGCCTAAATTTGTTGTGCTTGTCAGACATCCGAGAAAACTCGCTTCATCTTAGCAGACTGTTTACAGGGAAGAAACGACCATTTAGTTTGATGTCCAAAAAACGCTGAAGTGTGGTGAATTCAAGTTGAGTCAACCTCTCATTCAAAACAAATTATTGCAAAAGTGTTACTAGATTCTTTAATAATTAATTCGCTGAATAATTCTCATCTTTAGATATTTCTTTACATGTAAGTGTTCGAGACCGCAACAAACTGTGAATGTTCTGCAATGTTGAGAATCGGCAACAGGCCTATAGTCTAATTTCTCTAAATTATGCTGTAATAGCTCTTACTATTAGACTTGACGTGAGTCGATCTTTGTTATCCATGGTCCTCCTTAACGAGTCATTGATCGTCGTCGTTGCTCGTTCTCGCGCAATTCCTGACCGTCAATAAACAATCCCTTTCTATCGTTTCCGCGAAGAAAATGTATCGTTGGCTTACTAAAATATTGACAAACCCAAATGAGAGCGAGCCATCGCATTGCAGTCCACATCTCTGATCTATTTGCCTCAGTTCTCTGATTCTAGATTTGTTTGACTATAATCCAAGTGCGGCTGTAATAAATTCTCTGCAATAGAGCGGCGCTCGTGGGAGAGCGTGTCAGAATCTGTTGGACGATGATGATGGATGGACCCATCAATAACTCCGTTTTGCTTCATCGCTCTTGATTTATGACCGAAATACTTCGATTAGTACAGGTTTTATTTTCTGGTTCTGAGTAGCGGCAATATTCTGTCTGTTAGTTCTCACTATGATTACGCACTTTAAATCGTTTCGCCCGGAATGCAGTTCCGCATTGTTGGATTGAAAGATAGTTTCTCAATCGTTTTAGTTGGCGCCGACTGAAGACTAAGAGAAAGTTGTCGGCTCCGTAATGCAGTGAAAGTTTGACTAAAGTAGCACGCACGAGCGTGTCGATTTACTCCCTGCTTGGCCTATACTTTCGGCTTACGGTCAATTTTCAAATAAAGATGGAGCAAGAGTGTCGACGGCTTCTACAGCTAAGATTTTCGTCTTTTACCTGACCTGCCACCAAGAGCTTCACGTCAAGTCAATCTTTCCAAACGATTTTTTATTATTGAAGAAATATAAGGCTATCGTCTAACTCCCTAGGATTTCTAGGACAAAATATTTTGCCTGAACCAAATTTGTTCGACTTGATGTATGGTTTTTGGACGGGCCGCACCATTAGTTTCAATACTTGTGGCCAATATTTTCGAACCCAGGACTAGAGCCCAAAAGCTTCCTAAGCTCTGCACCGTTTGCCAGGCAATGGAAGACTCTCCCTGTCTTGCAGATTCTAACACTTCCCTATCTACAGAAATTTTCTTCTGAAATCATATATGCTAAGCTAATTCCTTAACTCTAGCAAGCATGATTCGGAACCAATTACCCTAGAACTACCGTGAAATGTGTACGGTTGCAGCTGTTTGCGATTCGAAAAATCATCAGTGTATGGCTTGAAACGATGAATGTTTGTTAGAATTGAATTAACCGAATAGGTTCTAGCATACTTACGAAACGTACGAAAAATGAAACGAAAAAAGTACTAAATGAAAGTAGAGGACAATAGAAAAATTTCGAACGATGGGAACAATTTCCCACATGTGATTGTTAATGTTAAGGAGTTGATGCTTCATTTCCAGTTTAACTTCTTCTAATTTTTATTTTTTCACGTAAAGGTGTCACAATTATTTTTTCCGTATTTTTTGTTAACATTAGATTTAAGAAGGGTCGATTTGCTGCTCTAGAATCTCCCTCAAAACAGTTACTTAACTTTATATCGGGGCTAAAATATGCTTGTATTTTTCAGTGATGTGTTTCCTGCTGCTTCATGTGCTTATCAAATTGTATGTAAATAGCTATTGATTTCTGAAGCCTTCGTTGTTTTTTTTCCATGTATTGAGAGTGCTTCCTGTTAGAAATTCCTTCCATCCACATTAATAAGCTCTCGAGATAATTTAAAAAAATCCATTTAGTCTCCCTTGATTGCTGGGGACATAAACTTCTATGAAGTTGAATCTTAATGGGATATTAAAAATTATATGTAATACAGATTTGGTATGGAATCCTCTTTGGAGTCGACTTTAAATCAGACATTGTGAAGTTTGGATTACGGAGGACCGTTTGTGTACGTGCTATTTGGTGGAGCCAAAATTTGTTTATTATGGAAAAATTAGGCGCTTTGTCGCGTGAATGAAGATTCAATGGGAGCACAATATCAAGCTTGTGCTTACTGCAAGGCATTTATGAAAATTTTGCTGTCGAAGTGCAGCATTTTTTTCTGAAAGGAAGTTAGGATCAAGTAGTTCGGGTTGGCGGTCAAACTGGTTAAACAGGGCGGTGGAGGTGGTGGTGGAAGAGGTGGAGGTGGTAGGGAAGGTGGTAGTGGTGGTGGTGGTAGTGCATGCGAAGGAACTGCGCCTGAAAAAGTAGTGATGGAAACGGCAAACAACCGTCGCAATGCCCGCGGCCCTCCACCAGAGAAGCGCGGCAGCGGCATGATGCCCACGATCACAGATATCGAGGACCCGAGCGCCCTGTACTCCCTGGACTCGTGTCAGAAAATTGTCCAAGAAGTCGGAGTGCCTCCCCGACGAGCCTGGCAAGGCGGCTACCAACGTGAGTATAAAAATTGGTATTATTCTAGAAAGTTTAAATTTATATCATTTCATTGATATTGTATACAATTAGCGCAAAAGTTTGTGACAATGTCGAGTGTAATATTTACGATCAAGCTTATTATGAACGGAAATGAGAAAAACTTTGAAAACTTGTCGGGCTGTTGAAATGATGATGTTGTGTATTGGTCAAGTGTGGAACCTAGGATTAGGCTAGAATTTGTGTCAGCTTCTAAACGTGAGTTTCAATTCAAATCGACGCTTTGGCCACCGAGATGGAAGATATAGTCTTTATTATCTTTGGTTGATTTGACTATGCTCCAGATTTGGTAAAAATATTGAGTTTTCTTAATAGACATATGGGTTAGATGTTGTAAAATTTCTCAGTAACGTTATCACAGGTTTACAGCAAAAACTGACTTGAACTCGGTCGTTCACAATGGAGGGGGAGGGGGGTCTGGGTCAGACGCTGGGGGGTCTTTCATTCTTGAATGATACTTGAACGCCTGCAAATTCACGAGCATTTTATGACTTGACTTATGGGTGTTTCAAAGTTTTAACTGCACTACTCACTGCTTAGTCAGCATGTTTGTGCCATTAAATTTTGTTATAATGACATAACACCGATGCTAAGGAGGGCAGAATCTTGTTAAGCAAAGTTTTTCTTCACCAGAATCTTAGAAAAATTTTCTCAGAGAGATTAAATTTGTGATACAGTGCCCTAAGGATCAGTGAGGTGCGAAGTGAAACTATCGGAAAAAATTAGGATAAATTCTCAATGTCCACTCGTGACTCTGCTTACTTGGATGATGGCGGTGTTGACTCTAAGTGTTGAATTACATGTTGCATCTGCGTGGTCTGTTTCTCATTAGCTTGAGAGTAACGCTAGGTATTTGGTGATTGTATATGGTCGAAATCCTGCTAGGAAAGTGAGACTGNGTCCTTGCCCTGTAATTAAAATTGTCCTGCACTATGATTTGTTCGTTACATTTACACAATATGGCCTATAAGTGTTTGTTGGCGGAAAAATATGTACTCGCAACTGCTTTTTTCCAATCAAAAATTTCTTCGTTGTTCCTGTCAGCTGTTGTCTGGCAGTAAATTGTCGGTGTGCAGTAAATTGTCGGTGTATTGTTTCGAATGATGTTTGAACTTTTGAATTAAGTTAAATTCAAGTAATTTCTAACCCATTATTCTTTGAGCTGACATTTTTTGCTCGAGTTGCCTGGCGCGAGCTGCCGCGGCCGTTCCCTATTATATGCTGTCACGACCACTTCCTTGGTACCCGACGAACAGGAACCATTCAAAAGACGGCCTTAGGCTCACTTTATTCCTTCTTATGCCACTCAAGCAGCTCAAGTTATGCCCAGCCTTTTAGTCTCTTGCATGATTTCAAGAACATTCAATTTGAATTCTGAATGAATAATTTATTCTCAGCTCTGGTGTAAATGAAGAGACTTTTTTCTGTGGCGTGTCAAAAAATCGGAATTAACGTTATACAATAAGATATTTGAGTCAAGATTCGGTAATCTTTCGTATCAGAGCTCGTTTGAGAGCTGCCGATCGAGTGTGTATTGTTTTTAATTTTATTTTACGGTGTCTGTATTGCACTCTGTATGCTACAAGAGTGAAGCTTCTGGATCTGTTAATTCACTGTTTTAGGATCTTGTGTGTTATGGAGTCGAAGCGGATCCGAGAACTCGAGTTGAAAACTTTCGGTTTGGCTAAAGTTTGATGTCAATTCTTGAAGAGTTGTGCGCTGCCGCAGATGAAGGAATGAAGCCAAGAATTTAAGAAATTCTATCTTTTCAAACTCTCAAGTCATTTCTTCTGTGCAAATGTTGATGGAACCCTTTTGTCGATTGATGGTGGAGTTCACGTCAAGTTTTGCACTACAATTCTATTATTTAAAAAAAAGGGGTTTTTCAATGCGTCTTAGACACTTCGATTTAATTTTATTTATACTCTAATGGCATGTCAGTAAAGGCAAGTTGTGGTTTGCGTTTACTGCGCTAAAAGTGAATTTCCTTCAGTGAGATCCTTATTTCTAACTTTTTTATTACACATTTTATTTGCGGGCTTGTGTGAAATGACGCATGTGATGGAGCGCTTTCCCAAAGAAAGGATCAGAGCTGCGAAACCAGTGACAGCTAGCTTTTAAATAGCTAGTTTCACTTCTTGGCAAGCGAATAATTTCTCGCAGACCAGCCGTCTTCTGATGAATTGTCGACCATTATCGAAGTGAATAGGGCGGTGTAATTTGCCGAGTTACAGGCATAAAACTAGTCTAAAAGTTGCATGTATGTTAATAACTTATCAGGTCAGTACTCGCTCTAGTACAATTTTGTTTGTATGGTATACTATTGAAATGAAATGATTAGCATTAAGCAATGTCCGAGCGTTTCATTAGAACCATCAGCAAAACTCTTGGTGAATTTACTGAGTTACTCGTATGTAATAATGACAATAACACGTGCTAGATTCATTTTGCAGGGATTCGTTGCTACTTAAGTTTGTTCCTTAGAGTTTTTACTGCTATTTAAATCTAATTTGCGATATATAGTCTCGAGTTCTTCTTTCGTAAGTTGAACCATATTTTTTTGTGGATAGTATTCTCTGTCATTTTTACTAACCCTTAATTATTCGCCGAAATAATGTAGAAAATTATCACCTCCGTAAGTTGAATGAGCCTCGTCCCGTCATGATCGCTCCTAACAAAAGCACGTGAGCATTAAGTTAGTTAACGATAACTTAATTATAAATAAAAATACGGGATATAAACCCAATTATTATTGCACCTGCATGCCGGCGCTGTGTTCATGTTTTCCATGATAAGTTCTTCTAGCAGCGCTTCGTACCGCCAGACGCTCGGCGCGGCGTCCGCGTGTTGCCACACAACAGCGAAATCTCTCGCAGAATATTGGACTGTCAGACGGAAAATTCGATTTCCTCGTCATTGCTCCGCTAGATGGCGCTACTTGGGCCCCGTCGCTTCGCTTGTGCAGGCGAATAACTTGTAACGAACGAATGCACGGTTTTATATGTCAGCAATATTTCATGATTTGAGATTAAAATTATTTTATTGTGCATATGTATTTTAATCTTGATTTTTTATAAGCGTGAAAAGTGGACTAATCTACCGTACAAGAACTGTGAATTTTACAGAGTTCTATTAATTACTACAGTATTGCAAGCTAACATACCTCAACCATTCCACATACCTCAACCATGCTCCACACCTCAACCATCCCTCTAACCCCAACCCTGCCACACACCTCAACCATGTTCATAATTTTAAGCATGCCCCAGGCACTTCACACCGTAGACCGCAGTTCTGTCCTCCGCAGAGTTCCCAGGCTGTCGATGGTTGTTAGCCAAGCTGTCGTAAATCTCGGCACGATATTTAGCAGAAATTCCTCTAGTTTTTTCACTCGAAGATATGGTAGTTTGTTCCTGAAGAAGCGCACAGCGCTGCTGACGCTGATACGCCTACTTTGCTTGCGGGCTTACTAATGGGCGTTTGGTATATATAGTTGTCGGCTTGAATGTATAACTCCAAAATTATACAAATTTTGATGTTGATTTGCATCTATGCTTACGTTATTCACTGAGTTATTCAGTTATCTTGAACTATGATATGTATAGGAAAAATGTTACAATTGTAAATGTCGATTCCACGGTTGGTTTTCCTGCCTTTGAGCTGGCAGTGCTTTATTAATTTGCCTGCGCAAAATATTGTTTTCCGACCGCATCTAATGGAAGGATCTCTGTCGATTTTTTTGCAATTAATATCACTGTAGCCTGCGTAATCTGCATTGACTTTTAATCCAGAAGCGTCACAAAATTTACGATTTCCCCTGAGGCCGCGAACTTTGCAGCTTTGATCCATGAAATTGTTTTCTTTTATTTTTTTATGCTCATTTCGATTTATCCAATGAGTTTGGTGACACTTGAATTGCTTAGATGATTTTTACTGCGCTAATCCTTTTTAGTGTGTCAGCGATTGCTGTAGTGCGCCAGTCTGCTTTTGAGAGCATATATAAATTCCCTCCTTTTTCCCCTGAAAATTTCTGCTTCTCAAAGCGCCAGCTCACTAATGGCAGAGCGTTTCAAACACCGCTGGTTCGTTCGTCGACATGACAGATCTTAGATTATTTATGAATAAATCATTTATTCGAACAAGAAATTTTAAGAAATTATAAAGGAATTGTAAATTTTATTGTGCGCAGAATTATCAAATTTAGGTTTAAGTTTTATTTTAAAGGATTTAGGTGCAGTACAATTATTACTTTATATCGGAAATTTAAGAACGACAATTAGCCTCATCAAAATTTCACTTACATAAATCTAAAACTGTCAACCGATGGAAATTCATTTGCATACGTATGTTTATTATCGTGCGTGCATTGTGATATTTATTAATTCGGAACAAACTAAAGTTTTCACTTTTCCTGCTTAAATTAATCAATTAATTCATTCATGTGACGTTTCAACTTAGTTTCAAGCCAAGATCTTCCTCACGATCGTTTATTTTAGTACAAAATATGTCCATGGGAACGAAGATTAATTCATGCAAATCGTATGTACAAATTTTGAGGCACGCTTCAACCAACGCTATTCTCCGTCGGTTATAAATTACTTTTCCTATCATTGAATTTCTTAAAGAATCTGCATCACTAATGAGGCCAGGCACAATTAAAAGAAATGACGAATCAGTTTCTGATTAATTATTAAAGTCGTGTCATCCCCCCTTTCGGCGGTAGATCTGCTGCTCGCTTTTGGCAGAAAATTTCAACTGATCCATAGGCAAATTACCACTTTCTCTATGTTAATTACATCTAATGAACTCAAATCTTTAAACTTACCTTGAACTCCGCCAATTCAGCAGAATTTTTATTTTTACGAGTGTAGAGGTTGTGTGGTATGAGAATATATTTTTACTGTGAATCTCTTTTAAATTATAAATTTTAAATTTATTGTACACTTTTCAATCTTTTAAAT